AGTTGGATGGAGCTCCTCTCTCCCCACATGGTTTATTTCTGTTTCTTTTTAACTTATAATTCGCTTAAATCACCTGTTCAAAACAGAAACCTTTTTGTCAGATAGTTTTTGAGAATGTCTAGTGTTGTACCTAACATTTTGCTGTGTCAGCATATTGTACTTACGTAATGTTTATGCTGACGGGAATATCTTTGGTCCCTTCTGTTTTTATAAAATTAATATGGGCAGATGTACCCTCATATACTTGACTCTCCATTGCTAATCTTATTAATTGATGTTGTTGGTTTATTGCACCTACTTCGTTATCTTTGCATAACATCCATTATAGCAGTATCATAGGTAAAAGTGAATATCACTGGTATACAGTAGGCAACAGCCTGGCCTTAATACACTACCTTGTGATAATCCTGCGTTAATTCCTTTAAGTTTAGAGTAAGGGTTGTCCTGATTAACCCTCGCAATCCTTAGCAGTACTCCTAGGAGTTGTGAAAACTACATAAGGGTTTCGTAAGAGCTTGTTTCATTTGGAGTGAAGTCTCACATGCCACACTCTATCAAATGCCTGAGCTACATCTAGGAATACAGTGGAATTAAATTTTTTTTCTTCCAGCAACTTTTCAATTATATCTATGATTCTGTGAATCTGGTCAATAGTTGGATTATATTTTGCTACAGGGATTAATAATGCCTCTTACAAGGTTACCTGACCTTGCAATTTTTGGTTCATCTATTTTAGTTCATTTCACCGTTATTTGTTGAAGAGAATTTTTAATGGAGATGTTTTCTTTTTCCTTTTTGGCTTGATTTTTATTAATAGTGTTTTCAAAATTACCAGTAACTGCAGAACATTTTCTGCACTTGTGTTGACTGTTGACACTTGTTTATTATTGCCCTGTGGTTGTTTAGGAAATACTGGTTTCTTGGTACGTTTATCCTTTAATTTTTGCATTTATGTGTTATTGTGGCCCGGGACGGGAACACATTGGAAAGCCCACATAAAATTGCTATTGAATTTAATGCATATTTCTCATCTGTCGGTGAAGTATAACACACAACGACAAGAACTTTAAACATAACATAAGCTAAAATTCATATCACAAATTTTTTACAAAATGCTAGAGGATCAGTTAGGACACTTTCTAAATTCCAGCAAAATGGTTCCAGTTGTCGGTATGGTTTTTGTCAAGGAAGGGGGGTTTATGCTGTTTTTGATGTATTCACCAAAAAAGTCAGTGATGCATTGGATACTTCTACTCCCATTATAGGAATATTTTTGAATTTGGCTAAGGGATTTGATACTGTTGCTCATCTCATATTATACTGATTGCCAAATTGGATTTCTATGGTGTCTCTTGATCTTATCCGTTCTTATTTATGTAATAGATGTTGCTATAAATCAATAATACAGTGATAGTCGCAATGTACCCTGTGGAGTGCCAATCAATCCTGGGTCTTTTCCTGATGTGTATTAACGACTTACTCCTTCATAAATTTATGGACGCACAATTATTGTCGTACGTCGATGACACGTTTCTTCTGCTTTCCAAAGTTTCTACTTCTGCTACTAGACATATTATAGTCTTATAGTCTTTTATTAAGTACTGGCTGGATAATAACTATCTCTTCTTGAATCCCACAAAATCCTACTTTTTTACGTTCCAAACTTACAATTACCCTCTAAATCTTAATGAGATTCGGGTTTATAATAGAGATTGCATAACTGGTGGTCGTAATTGTTCTTGCTGTGGTATTATGAAGAGAGCGAACAGAACCAGGTACTTGGGACTTATAGAGGATGCCAATTTTAAATGGAATTTTCATATTGACTTGGTAGTTAAGAATATCCGCAGATTACTATCTTTATTCTTAACGTTGAGAATTGTGTAATATTGGCGGTATCTAAAACTCTTTTATTATTCTTTTGTTCAGTCGGTGCTTTGGTTTGTTAGCTTGTTAGGTTCATGTGCAAGTGGTTCAGAAATCAATACTACGGATCTCATTATTCAGACCAAGCAGGTTTCCCAGTGATACTCTATTTGCAGAACCAAAGTTCTAACACTTAAACACCTTTATGTTATTGCTATCTGTAGATACATTTATAAAAATAAGTACTGTTTACCTACTGTGCTGCCAAACCATCTTTACTTCACCAGATCCAACATGTTGCAAAAATTAAATGTTCCTGTGCGTAGGAAGGCTGTGCTAACTTTTCGTTCACAGTTCATAAAGTTTATAACTATCTTTTTTAAAACTACAATCTTCAACTTTTGCCTATACTACTATTTCTTCCTCCAAAGGTAGTTTTGAAAAAGGTACGAGATTTCATTTCGGGTACTACTTTGCGTGAATTGTTTTAAATTGTACGATCGTGATTAGGTTAATTATTATTTTAGATTAGAGTTTCATTTTCAGAGTGCTTGGACAAATTAGTTCTCCTTTAATATAATATAGTGTTTGCTGGACGATCAACAAGTGTTTTAACACTTAGATCGACCAGTAAACTAGTTAGTAATGAAAATTAGTTGAAATTTGTCCCTTTGGATTTCAGTCTGTCTTAAAAAATTAGAAATCTTTTTTTTGTTTTTTTTATCTCTTTTTTGTGCATTTATTTTGTGCTGTATTTTTGAACTAAATAAAAAATAAAATCAAAATAAATTAAATGTCTTGTTTTTTCTGCTTCATCAGGAATCTTGGGATGCTGAAGTCTAGCATTCGTGCCACCTTTTCAACAGTTGTTCGGTAGGTCTCCTCGAGCTTGGTCACCCACTCTTGGCCATTTCGAACAACACTTATAGTCGCATAAATCGTACCACATCAGATACAATTAGTTCCTCCCGTGTTGTTGAGCTTCTTATCTAATCTCCCAGGGTTGCTCCTTTAATCGTCCTTAGCGTTCTCATTTCGGTGGCATGCCGTAGTTTTAGTCATTTTAATCTGTGGGGGGTTTACCAGGTTTTGCTATCATTATTATTTCAGCAACTTTCCATATATTTGGGAAGTATTTCTGTTTAAAAGCAGCATTAACTATGTGTAATAGTTTTGTAATCGTCCGTTTTGGTAGAATTTTCAATGTTTCTCCATTAATTAAGTCATACCCTACTGATTTTTTTATATTTGGTTTTTGTATTTCATAATACAGTTCTTTCATTCTTACACATGGTATATTACTCTGCTGATCACTTTGAATCATGCTAGGAACATAGTTGCTGGATTGTCTGATGTAAAAGTTCGTTTCAGATGTTCAGCAAACAAATTCACTTTTTCTTGGTTGCTCTTAGCCCAATCTCTTTTACATAGAAGAAAAAGGCCTAATCCCAACACATCAATTTGGGTTTCGGATTAAACATGCAACAATAGACTAAGTGCATAGAATAACAAATACTATCGAAATAGCAATGGAAAAAAATAAAGTCTGCTCTGCCGTATTTTTGGATGTTGCACAAGCTTTCGACAAAGTCTGGTTAGATGGTTTAAATTATAAACTAGACCAAATACTACCATCAACGTATAGTCAACTACTAAAATCGTATCTTTCTATTCTATCGATATTTTAGAGTAAAATACAAAAAGGCTTATAAAAAGGCACTACATGAAATACAAGCCGGAGTTCCTCAAGGAAGTGTGCTTGACCCAACAATGTACTTACTCTACACATTCGACCTTCCTTAGATACCAAAAACATTAACAGCTACATTTGCAGATGACGCAGCGATCTTTGCTGTTGCAGAAAATGAAGTAGTTGCAACAAATAAGTTACAATTGGCCTTAAGTTCAATAGAAAACTTGGCCAAACGATGGCTAATAAAATTAAATATAAATAAATCGACATACATAAACTTTACTTATAAGAAAGTCAACTATGTCCCAGTACACATAAATGGCAATGCAGTCCTTTACGCCGATACCGCAAAATATCTTGGTATGACGCTGGATGCCAAACTGGAAAGCTCACGTAAAAAAAAACGTGAGGAACTTGATATCAAATTTAGAAACGTATATTGGCATATTGGCTTTTTGGAAGAAAATCAACGTTATCACTAAGAAACAAGTTGCTAATATACAAGCAAGTATTAAAACCAAAATGGTCATACCGAATCCAACTGTGGAGATTTGTCCTGCAAAACAAATACAAGTCTGATTCAAAGATTCCAAAACAAAGTACTAAGGTGCATAGTGAATGCACCTTGGTATATAAGAAACACTGACCTCCATTGCGACTTGGAAGTAGCATCGGTGGCGCATCAAAGCCGTTCGATCTTGTTTAATTTTGTGTCAAAAATAAGTAGCTAATTAGTATGTATTTAATTAGGTGTTATACAATTGTGCCAAGCATAATATAAAAAAAATTCGCCCTAGTTTCCCATGCGTAAGTCAATACCGGCCCCACTGCCACTTTGTAGATGCGGACTTTGCTCTCCTTAAACATGTATTTGTTGCTCCATGCGATGTCTTAGATGTCCAAATATTCTGAAGCCTTTGTTGACTTGTGCCCTAACTTCCTTGTGAAAATTTCTGTAGCTAGAGATATCAACGCCCAGGTACTTACAGTGCAGGCTCTGTCTAATGGGGCGATCATTCATTGTCAATTCGCACCTGACAGGCTCTTTTGATATCACCATTGTTTTAGTCTCCTAATCGGATATCTCCATATTTAGTTTTTCGATGTGATTTGGAATCGACATAGCATTTGCTGCAAGTCGTTTTTAACACATTTTGGTTTGTCAGTCTTTGGTTTCTTACATTCCACTCTAATGCCGTTGTCTTGGCATTGTTGCACTCTAGCATAAAGTTGGATATTCTGAACGATAGAAGTCTAAGAGCGGTGCCAAAATTTTCTACCTCCTCTAAAGATTCAATGTGTGCTAAAGGTTGCGTTAGTTACATTTTATCAATTTTTATGTCATGCTAGTTTCTTATACGATTTTTTTATGTTTTAAAGTAATCAAGACTAGTTTTAATTAGAAAATTTTAATTTGTAATATTAATTTGTTTATTTTTAGGTGAGAAGAAAACAATTGGGCGACAGTTTCCGTTTAGTAGATCAACTCTTAACTCCATTTCAAAGATTAACAAGATACATTTTAATCCTTAGAAAACTTTTGCAACAACAAACAAACTCAGACAATAAAATTCTTATAGAATCGATAAATTACTTGGAAAGTATAGCAACTGAATTAAATCTATCGAGTTGATAAGAAATTTTGTAAACATTTGTTAAATACTTGTTCAGTTAAGATGTGCCATCTGTGAATCGATAGATGGACGTTAAGAAATATATCTAGTCTTCTTATTATAGACACCTTGAAGTTTTTTGTTAAACTGTAATCTAGAAATGGACGGAAACGAGACGAGTTTGAATTTCAGAATTAACTTAACTTAAATTTAATAAGAAGATATTATGTAGAGGTTATTTCTTTTCTATATAATTTATGATTGTGATTAAAGGAAATGTATTTAAATTTTCCTGTTTTTACTTTTTGTGTCTGACCTCATGAATGTCGTAACTGTTCGTAATTTGTATTCGAATCGAATCGGACCTAAACAAAAAAATACATTAATTAGTATTACACGAACGATTCTCTTGAAAGGTAACAGTTACTTAAAAAAATAATGATAATCCGTTAACGTTTTTATTTTATTTATCATTAACGATTAAAGTAAATCTAAAGTACAAGTTAATTTAATAAATATAAGTACTACTTAAATCAACAGGAAGATAGACTATATTTAAATCTCACTTTAGTGATAATATAAACAAAGTAAGGAACGAATTTAGCAGATAATAAGAACGGATATGAATAAATATGAGTGTAACAAGTCGTGATAGTCGTCGTAAATCGTTTTCTGTCAGTGTATTAACTAATTTCTTTGAGTCTGGTGGTGTTCTTCAACATTTATTTAAAGGTAAGAATACAAACAATCAGAAACAAATTGATTTAAGCCAAACCCGTTTAATGAAATTCTCTGTAACGTAATCTTATCAAAATTTTTATCTAAAATTCTATCTCCCTAAAATATTTGTCGTATTACTAGTATAAGTTAGCCGCGATGTGGAATGTGTTGTATTAAAAAAATCAAAAAAAATAGTTTACAATGAGTAATGTTAGCAAACTCAGTAAATCATTTGTGATAGAATCACTCAACGATAGTGGACATTCTTCGTCTACTTCCTGGATGAAAAAAGATGAAGTTAAAAAGTTAAACGAGGAACACCTTGTTGCTGAAAGGAGGAAATTGTTTCAAAACTCTACAAGCTCGATAAACTTAAATCCATCAAGTAAGTTCTTCTTTTTCATTTCTAAAGATGTTTTTGACAAAAATTAATTAATCTTATCTTTGGATTATTACTTAATTAAAAAAAATTATCAAAATTAATGATAAATTGTAATTCTTATTTTTTAGACGGTCCTAAATATATTAAAAGCATGCCACCGACTAAATCAATTAATATGGTAGAAAAAAACAACTTTCAACAACAAGAAGGTGTTATACGACATCGTCACTCTTATGAAGATATCCAAAAAACAAGAAAATCTGTTATGGACACGATCATCAAGTACATTGAGGGCGATGTTTCCGAGGATGATATCGAAGAAGATACTTCAATTGAAATTTCTCAAAATGAAATTGAAGAATGTGAAGATATGATGAAGGATATACAAAAAAGTTGGAGTCATATTAATTTATTTGTTGATAATATCGATGAAGATGATAATGAAAATTTTTATGAAAATGAAAATGAAAGTTTGTATGGAAATATTAATGAGAACATTAATGAAAATATTAATGACAATATTAATGAAAATTTTAATGAAAATATTAACGAAAATATTAATGAATGTATTAATAAAAACGTGGTCAATATTGATGGTGTTAAAAATGATGTAGAAGAATGTGGTGATGAAGAAAATAAAGAAATATCAAATTGTATAAAAGAAATTCAAACAGATTTTAATAATCTTTATGATTCTGCAAAAGAATTAGACCAAAATGAAAGGAAAGAATTAAATCTTAGAAGAAGTATTAACTTTGTAAAAAGTAATCGTTCTTCGAGTAAACGTAGAAAAATGAAAAAGAAACCTGATAACATCGACAACGTCGTTTACCCATACGACAATAAAAACCAAGAAATATCATCACCTGAACCGACTCCAATTAATTCTTCAGATAACTCAATTTTAAATAACTTTTCTTTTGAAATAAACGATGATTTTTTTGGAAAAATGTTAGAACCAATCGATTTTATAGTAGAAACATACAATAATAAAGAAGAAAACGTTCTTTATAAATTAATATTAAAACGAGAACCGATTTTGATTCCAAACGAAGTTTATAAAGATGAAAATCGGTTTTCTTGTGAATCAACTTGTTCGAGTTCAAATTCGAATGTAAATTTAAACGATTCGGAAGATATTAAAATTCTTTTAAAAATTACTCAACCGGAAGATGATTTTAGAAATTTTGAGAGTGAAGATGAAGGATTGAATCAAAATGATTATGACGCACATGTTTACGAAAATTTCTCAATCGAAAACGGAAACGTTAAGGAAAAAATAAATCATGCATACGAAAATTGGACGGTTTGCGATAAGGATAATAACCAAAGAATTACGATTACTCACGAATCCGTTTTGAATGGTAAATTTTTGCAAGTACCCGGAGGAATTCCACCTAAATTATTACCCTCACCGAAAAAACAACACATTATAGATGAATTGAAACAAACTGAATTAAAATTTTTGGATGGATTAGAATATGTTATTCATGTAAGACTTTTTTAGTGTTAAAAATTACGTTATTTTAATTATTATTTGTGTAGCAATATTTAAAACATTTTAAAAATCACCCAAATGTTAAACAAATCGGAATGGGTATTAGTCAAATATTTGGGAATATTGAAGACATTTTTGAAGCAAATCAAAAGTTTTATGAGAGACTACTACAATGTAATTATTCCGTTGAAAAAATTGCAAAATTATTTCTAGAAAGTGTATGTTCCCACATAAATTAAGTGCATTATTAATTACTTAAATATAAATTTTAGGAATACATATTTTTATTATCTTCTGATTACATGAGAAATAAATACAAAACTCAACATATTTACGAACAATACATAGGAGCTTTATCAGTAAAAAGAATTACACGCATTGAAATAATTTTTTTTTAATTTCTTTTTATTTTAGGAGCGTCAAAAACAATTAAACGATAAGAAAACTTGCGACAGTTATTTATTAACCCCAGTACAAAGAACGACTCGATATAAACTTCTTTTAGAAAGTTTATTAAAAGATTTAAAGAAAAACGGTGAAGAAACGACTCTTTTAGAAAAAGCAATTGATTTTATCGATAAAAATATATCCGAAGCAAATCGGCTTTTAGCCATCGACTCAATTCGTAATTGTCCAATTAATTTAACAAATAAAGGTCCTCTTTTACTAAAAGATAGTTTCAATATTAAAAGAAAATATAGAAGTCTTATTTTCTTGTTTAAAGATGTCGTTGTATTCACAGTCGAAAGTAAAGTGAGTTTTTTCGTTTATTTTAGAAGAATAAAATTGTTAACCTATTTTTTATTTTATGTTAAAGGCAAAACAAGATATTTTTGAATACAAAGATAGCATTTTGCTATCTGACCTATCGTTAAAACATCAAACCAATTCAAACGTTTTTACGCTTATTAATTTTCCAAAGAGTAAAATGGAAACGAATCGTTTTGAGGATAATACAAGTTTTGAAATAGAAGCGGTAAATAGTAAAACATGCAATCTATGGGTGAATAAAATTCGAGATATTTTATGGGTACAATTGAATAGTTATAAACGTAAGAATAATTGGAAACTAAATTATTATATTATTAACGTTTTTTTTTTTTTAGAAAACCGGAAAACTATGACAAATTTAACTCCAAGTCCTACAAATGAAAATAAAGGTAAATACTTTTGAAATATTCATTAATACAGTAAAACCTGAATGTAACGGACCTCATCACAATGGATTTCGGATATAACGGACAAAATATTCTTAAGTTATACTATTAATATTATCTATTTAATTTGCTCATAGATAAAATCCAAGTTGGGTATTTCGCTAAGTTGCTCTATTCCATGTTCATAGATAATCTTGGGTTATTCCCCTAATTGTCTATACAATATATAGATCAAGGACGGTAGTTCAAGTTTTAATTATTATTCAGCGTTATAATTCAGCTATTGTTGTATATTTTTCATTAAATTAAAACTAGAACTAACACTAGACCGAGAACTAGAAATATTCGGGTTACGGATAAACCCGAATGTTTCTAGTTCTAGATCTACTGTTAGTTCAATAAAAATATACAACAATCTAGCGCTGAATAACAATAAAACTACAACTAACAGTAACATTAGAACTAGAAAATTCGTGTATAGCCATCATATGAGTCGTACGGCTAAACCCCAATATTTTTACTTTGCTAATTCAAAGTGTGAAATAGTAGTTGCCTACCTATGCGTGACGTCACGAACGGGCCTTCGAGCTGTGCACTTGTTCCCGGAATATAGCAGTCCTCTTAGATTCTTGGTATAAATAGATATAAAGTCACAATTAAATATTTTTCATACAACGGACTTTCGGCTATAATGAACACCCCCTTCCCCGTATTAATCCGTTATATCGAGGTTTTACTGTATTATCTTTTAAGTTAATTTTTGTGAAAAGAGTGATAACAAAAAATCACGAAATCTATTAATATGTAATCGTCAATAAATCGCTTGATAAAATCACTTTTAAAAAGAAAGTGCATTGTTATCTATGAAGATAACAAAAATATTAGGAAAGTACAGGTTGAGAAATCTATTTTGGCCGGTGACGGTCATATGCACTGTAACAAATAATGTAACTAAAGGTGCGTACCCACCAAGAAACATATTAAAACATACAGGTACAGTTACACCATTTGCTCGTACAGAGCTCGAAAACATATCGCGAACAATTGGATGTTGACGTCTACATAAATACAAAATATTTATTTAGTATTGTTCGTCAAAATGTGCCAGTACGTTTTCGTATTTCATGAGAGAATATCACGTTTTAACGAAACGAGTCAAATTCTTACCTGTGCTTTCTTTATTGTTATTAATACTCGATCTACACAGCAATAACGTCGTCACTACTAGCAAAGACGTCTTTTTCAAAAGAGAAGGCAAAGCACTAGTACTAACTTATTGACAGATTTAAGAATAGAAGATGGATGTGGATTTAGAAGCTTTCATCGTATGTCCACAAGTGATTTTGAACATTTACTTAATTTAATCGGACCCAACATTACAAAAAGGTACTAAGTACAGAAATGCAATTCCGCCACATGAAACGCCTGTAGTGACATTACGTCTTTTAGCTTTTACGATTTCCAGATTAGAAAAGGCCTTAAAAGTAAACTACGTGGCTCTATACAGATCCTCTGTTACCAGACTTTTTCATTTTTTCGCTCTTGTTTCCCTCGCGTCGAAATTGCGATAAAAGCGTTTTCTGCCAATCAAATCATGATATTTTTCAATTAATCTTGAAACGTGTTCATTTGTCCATTGCTTATCGAAAGTGTTAATGGGAACAATTCGGCGTCTACACAAACTAAGTCAAACTCTTGTTTNCCATTTCTCAATCATTAACAATAAATAGAGGTTTCTTTAGTTTATGTGTCACCACTATTAATAATCATATATAATATTTTGAACACCGCTATCTCCCATTTACGCTATAAGTATTTTCTGCACACGCTCTACCCAACGACTCCTGACGATCGACTCTCGTCCTCAATAATCCTCTTTCTCATTTCTACATTTTGGCCATTCTTATCTTCATGCGATTCGGATGATGACTAAACATCACTACGTTTTAGGTACGATTTTAAATTTGGTGACACTGTGATATAATTTCAACCTTGTTCTCTTATTCCAGTCTTGTTACATACATCTATTTTTAGTTTGTCATTTCATTTGTCGTTGTAATGTGTTTTTCTTGTTATTTTACCATGTAAGTCTATAATTTTGTATATTTATTTTATATTTAAAGATTTTCATTTTAGTTTTACTTTAAACATTTTTTAAGTTTTTAACTTATGTCTAAGTTTTTGTTCTTGTTTGTTCATTTTTGACAGTAAGTTTTATCATTTGTTTTAAGATAATTTCTTGTTATTTATTTTTAATTTGTAGATTCAGCTGATGATGGCTTATTAGCCGAAACCGGTACTGATTATATTAAATTTTTTAGCGAGAAAGAAGTTATTTTATTTTATTTAAATACCTAAAATTTTATATTTTATATTTATTTATTCTTTTAATTACCTTATATTCTTTCTTCATATGTTATAATTCCTTTTGTTATTATCTTGAATTCGTTTGATTTGTTTTGCAGCATCATATCGTATTTGAGAACGTTCTTCATCTAGACGTTGCATCATATCTTTTTCTCATAATTCTTGCAGGTTTAAATCTTGTACTAGTACTTATTGATTTCGGTTAATACTTTAAAAGAGGAGGAAGCTGTTCTTTTACTGATAAGGAATTAAGATATCATATTATGGTTGTGTTTTTTCCAACTTCTTCGTTTTCTTGTGGTACTCTGGCTTTTTTGTGCAATAGTTTTTGAACTCATCGAATACAAATTCTCCTAGGTTTGCCGAAAACTTTCTGTTTACTGTAGTAATATATTTATAGTTCTTATTGGTAGATAGTAGTGATCAATGTGATAAGTATCCAGCAGAGTGGGTCATTTTTCGGTTGAATTTAGATAACCTTCAAAATTTCCAGTCTTTTTCCCCATTATACAAATTAAAAAAAATCGTAAATACAAATTCTATCTTTTTTCAATGTTTTGAAATCAACTTATTTCACCTCTACTCTACTTCTCTCTAATTTTATCATCTTTATTCTGTCTATACTACCTACTTCACGAATAGTACTTCAATTTTTAAAGTCAACATTCGACCACCTCCCAAAAAAGTAGATGTAACATAATTTCCGGTACTTACAAATCATTTTTGGGCGTTACTGGTTATTTTCGAATATTCGGGAAATGTTATTTGTTTATAGCCAAGCCGTTAAGTGATTTGTTGCAAGACGATCAACATTTCTGTTTTGGAACAACTCAGAATGAAGCCTTTTGAATGAAGATTAAAGGCCATTAAGTTAAGTGAGATGTCACCCGCATACCAAAATAGACTAGATCAGACAAGGTAGATAAAAAATTCAAGTCATGCATTTTAAATATCTAGGTGTTGAAATTACAAGAAACCGTGATCTATTTAGAAAAACATAAGGACTTAGAACGTTCTATGATTTTAAAATGTAAACGTGTTCTGTACATAATTTATTTAATTTTTATTTGATAACTTCAAACATTTTATTATAATGTAACAAAATTTGATGTCTTAATTTACTTCATGACAATATAAAACTAGTCTCTGAAGATGGCACATAGCCGAAACTAGTAAGACTTATGTTTTTCATTTAATTAAAGACCAGTTTAAAAGTATAAAAACTATACATATTTTTTTTCTACTTGTTACAAATACTGGTAAAATGGATTTATAACTCTTTAAACAAATAATTGACCAGTGAATTTTCGGTTTTTTGTGCATTTTTGTGTGCACAACACCTTTTTATGCTTGGTCTGTTCTGGGCAAGCGTTGCGTACGGATCAAGTTCTGTGAGACATTTGGATGATCTATCGTTTGTACTATTGACTGAAGTTAACATCACTGAAAGCATCAATATGCCTCATATGCTGTTCTAGTCGATGACGAATGATATATTACAATTTTTGTATTAAAAGTGACCAAGTCGTACAACTGTAGTATATAGCTGAATAAATACTCTGTATTTGTTCTGTATTTTTAATGCTTTCTATGAGAGTCAGTACTTACATCCACGTAACTGCAATACTTTTGTTGAGCAGGTGTTGTCTTCTGCTTCATCAGTATACAGAATGTATTTTTAATCATTTTCTCTTTCCTGCCCTAATATTACAAAAAATCGAAACGTAAGAGTTATTTTCTTCTTTTTGTTCCACTTTCGACTAGGGACAATCCCTGTTTATCAACCCACGTGTTATGGGTTTTATTCCGCAGACGAAGAGAACCAACTTTAAATCCATATCTTGTGTGGTCGTCCTTGTGGTCTCATTCCTTCCGGTCGTCCACGCATACAAATTCTTGTCATTTTTTTTTTTACTTATTCTTTCTATATGTTCCTTCCACTTCTTTTTTTCTGGTTTTTATCCATTTAACTACATCCTGTATGTTACATCTTTTTTTAAATATGAATAATAATTCCGGTATTTAAAATATGTACCGGAAATTAATGAGATTTTATCTGAAAATTGTACTATTTTATTGTTAGTAACCTTATCAAATATTTAGGATTTATCTTGTAAAAATAATATATCTACTGTATTAACTATCCTATATATATATTATTGGGTTACGAATTTTAATAACCAGTTTGGTCCCGTTCTATGAATTATTAACCATGTTGTATACATTGGGCGGTGGTGATGTGGTTGAGAGCACNAAATGTATCAATTAAAATGTACACAACCCCTTTGCGACCGTTTTTATAAACCTATTACTGAATCAACTTTATTTCTCCGTCTCAACATCTAATCTCTTTTGACGTCGTGCCTAAGAAGAAGACCATATTGGTCGAAACAATTGTCGCACCGAAACAAATAAAATAAACAATCATCATCGTAAAACTTACTTTTATTGCAGTATAAAACTAGTCTCTGAAGATGACACATAGCCGAAACTAATAAGACTTATGTTTTTCATTTAATTAAAGACCAGTTTAAAAGTACAAAAACTATACATGTTTCTTTCTTCTTGTTACAAATACTGGTAAAATGGACTTATAACTCTTTAAACAAATAATTGACCAGTGTATTTTCGGTTTTTTGTGCATTTTTTGTGTGCACAACACCTTTTGATGCTTGGTCTGTTCTGGGCAAGCGTTGCGTACGGATCAAGTTCCGTGAGACATTTGGATGATCTATCGTTTGTACTATTGACTGAAGTTAACATCACTGAAAGCATCAATATGCCTCATATGCTGTTCTAGTCGATGACGAATGATATATTACAATTTTTATATTAGAANTGAATTTAATTTAGTCTCATCCTCTTCCGCAAATTCTAACGCAATATCCGTTAGTATTGAATTGCTGTTACGTGTTTTCAAAAACTGCTTCTTTTGATTTTCCTTAACAAATATTTGATCTCAAATGATTTGATTTTATTCTGATTGATTTATCCACCCATCGCTATATAGCAACCTGTGATGGTTGCGTTCCAAATATCTCACTGATCTTCGATCTCGAACGTTTAACTGTTGGAATGGTATACTAGCTTTTAAGTGTAAATGTATTATGTAGTCGGTGGTGATATCCACAAGAGTAAATTCTTTAACTTCGAATTTAGAATTGATGTAAAACCCCTGAACGTCTACAACCGCGATTTTGAACTTCATATTGTAAACTAACATATGACCTCATGTGTAATTTAATTTATAATTACAGATACCTCCCCACTCAAAGGTTTGTATGTATACATGGATTCTTGGAGTAGTATACAGTATGCTTTTGTATCAGGCGGAAAATCTTTACCGCTTTGAATTTCGATACGCACCTCACATGATGCGGATGGGGCGGCTTCTTCATCGTTATTCTTAGTGGTATCCACCACGAATAAAGGTCTTTTTTTAAAGCTTGCGAAATCCATAATCGGTTGTTTTCGAGATGTTTCCCAAATATATGGTTGAAATTCGGTATACATTTTATAGAGTTCAACATAATTTTCTTTCGCAAACTCCAAATTCATCGACTCGAATGGATAGCAGTATGAGTTTAGATATACTTTAAGATCTATAATGTTCAAGTGATCGAAAAGTGTACAATCTGAATTCGGCTGATCCTTTCGATTGGTTTGGAATGCAACTATAACGTATTGAGGTCTACCTCTGTTAGTTGTTGACGTGACCGACCAAATCTCTTTATTTCCCTTTCTCATTGAAGGTAGCTCATAAAAAGACCACTTCCGAAACGGTACGGGAATGTTTGCGTTTTTATTTAAACCATCTAACAGCTTCATCTTTATAGATGGGCTTGGGTACACATGTTTCGCCAACAATGTAACCGTTTTTACAGTAAACTCTGCGGTGCTAGAATCGGCTTTTGATGTAGATTTATAACAATTGGAGTCAGTACGACTTCTAACAAATCTAAATTTGAAGCGACCTCTCATAACGTGATTATAGTCCCTAAATAATCCGAAAATATGACTTAATGGGATTTGAAACGTGAAATCCTTGTTCGCACTAACTGTAGGCAAATTTCCTTCGGGTGGCCATTTTAAACCAGCTATTTCTAAAGATTTGCATTCCACTTCGTTTTGTTGAAGTAGGGTTCGAATCAATGATGTTAAACCGGGTTCACGTACCCGTTCGATTTCAGTACCGTTATGCTCAAATGCGATATACTCAAATAGATATGTTGGTAAGTTGTGCGTTAGCTGGATAGTATCAGTTGGATCGTTTAATTTTTCTTTGTAATCTCCCTCAATACGTATATAACTTTCGAAGAACGAAAATAAAACATCTTCTTGGTTTAGTTCAATGGTGAATATATCGTTATTTTGAAAAGAATTTGTGGAAGGATGGTAACTATGCACTTCTTCTCTAGCGATCGAATTATCCACGATGGGTTCGCGGTATATATTTAACTTTTGTGTGGACATGATAACCCAACTGCTCGAGAAAACGTCTGTTGTCCGCTCGCAATGAAGTCTTTCTTTTAACTGATCTAGATGTTCTCTTTCCACCTGAGTTATAATGTTTTCTTTTGATAGATGAACGCTGTTGAGGATCGGTGGCTTTTAATTGGAACAACAGCCCCATTATGAAGTTCGTTTTAATTCTAATCTAATAACAATTTCTTCTCCACGAAAGTTTACCAATTTACCACGCTGATCAAGTAATCTTAGTGTAATGTTCGATATCGGACGATCGGTGTCCACTGGCAAATAAATGGGGTTCCTTGGCTCTATATTTATACTGAAACCAGGATCCACAGTTGGAGCGAATTCATATAGCGTGTGAGATAATTTGTTATTGTAATACGAGCCGGAAATTATATTACATTCCACTCGAACGGATGTCACACGTATTATATTTACCGGAAGATCTGATTTATGCTTTATCGATACATCTAGTTTGCGATTGGAAAACCCCAATATAGAAGCTAT